TGTGTGTGTGTGTGTGTGTGTGTGTGTGTGTGTGTGTGTGTGTGTGTCAATCTCAATGTTTTATGCGTAGGGCGCTAAGTGAGCGCATAACACGCATATTAGTAGCGATTGGTTGCTGGGGGAAGGGGGAAGGATCAAGGTGCAAGCGGAAGTGTTGGTGTTTGTGAAGGCGTTTGTATTGTTGTGTTTATTTAGTTTGTTTGTGAAAGTGTTAAGTGTTTCAGCTTCTATTATGTGTTGTGGGAGCCTGTTCCAGTCGCGTATGGTACGTGGAAAGAATGAGTGTTTGTAAGAGTTAGTGTTAGTGTGGTATGTGACAAATTTACTGGTGTGTGAGTTCCTTATGTTGCGTGGGTGTGCTGCGTGTAAGTATTCGTGTTTGTTGATGTCTACAAGGTTGTTTGTGATTTTGTACATGATTGTAAGTCTGTGTGCTTGTCTTCGTGACTCGAGCAGGTCCATTTTAATCTGTTTTTTTTATGTGAGATGTAATACCAGGTGTATGTGAGTAATTGCGAGTAATAAACCTGGCTGCCCTAGTATTAACCTGCTCGAGTTTCTCAATGTTGTGTTTAGTGTAGGGGTCCCATACAGCCACACAGTACCCTAGTGTTGGACGTACAAGTGTGTTGTAAGCTATGTGTTTAATGTCCGGGGTACAGTTATGTAGGTTCCTCCTCAGAAACCCCAGTGTTCTGTTGGCTTTGTTAATGATGAAGTCGGTGTGTGTATTAAAGGTGAGATTGTTGGAAAGATGAATACCGAGGAATTTGTGAGTTGCTGTAGATTTTATGGGATGGTTGTGTAAGGTGTAGGTGTGGTGGATAGGTGTGTGTGATCTTGTGAAATGGATAACTTTATATTTATCGGGTCTAAAGGACATTTGCCATAGTCTTTCCCACTGTTCAAGCGCGTCAGTGTCTTGGAGGAGTCTTCAGTCGTTATATAGGTCGTAACAAAAGGCTGTCGTCAGCAAAAAGTTTAGTAGAAATTAGGTCGAAAGTGGAAGATCATTTATGTACAGAAGAAAAGACGGGGGCCAAGAACGGTGCCTTGTGGGACACCAGAGAGACGGGGACAGAGTCAGAAGATACTCCGTCGAGTAAGACGCGTTGGGTCCTACACGTCAGGAAAGCAGTGATCCAGTGAAGTATTGGTCCTGTGATCCCGTAATGTCGTAATTTAAGAGCCAGTCTTTTGGGGGGAACTTTGTCAAAGGCTTTGGCAAAGTCAAGTAGTATGGCGTCAACTTGTTTGGTGTCACGTCTGTCTAATTGTCGTACAATGTCATAATGAGTGGGATTATAGGGTCTCACATGATCGTCTGGGCCGAAAACCATGTTTTGAGTCTGTAAGGATGTTGTGGGTATCAATGTGGTTCATTATGTGTTTTGTGTGTGTGTGTATATATATATATATATATATATATATATATATATATATATATATATATATATATATATATGTATATATGTGTGTGTGTGTGTGCATATTTTTTCCCTCGTACTCACATATATATTTGTGCTTTCATATTAAAGGGGAATAAAATACCTGTGTCATTCCATTCATTCATTAAAATAAAGGACAATTTATAAATACACATGGCAACTTATATCTATTTTCACACAACACAAACACTATTCATAAAGTAAGATCGATTACACATATACACTAACGATTTTTTTCTCTAAGGAAATTTGGACATTTGATATACCGTTTATATCTTTATTTTGATTATTTAATATCCTTTATTTTGGATATATTCTTCAATATCAGTTATATAAAGACATTTCTTCAACGTTCGTTATATAAATGGTTTATTCATCTGGAAACAGAATCTTCGAGTTTGATTTTTAAAATGTTTTGGTTTAAAAAATGCGACCGTGACGCAAATTTTGATTTTCCTTCTTTTTATCTTTATACAATTTACGTATCTTGTATTTCCTACATCAGGGTACTTTCGTGATCATGCACTGCATACAGTATTTCAAGTTTGTCAGTTATTTTGCATCAATGTGAGACACCTTCATTTTCATCGAGAAATATAAGTAAAGCATTCTATCACAGTCAACAAAAGTAGAAAAGTGTCACACTGGCCTCAGCGTTTCACACACTGACAGGCGCTGTATTTGCAATCCTCTCCTGACGCTGAGAGCGAGTCCTCCGCTGGGAGCGACTCGCCGCCCCGCGACCCGTGCTCAGGCGGGCACATTGCTGCAGTCCCTCAGCGCGGTGCCCTCGGCCAGGCTGAGGCTGAGGCTGACGGAGGACACGGGCTCCAGACGGAAGTTAAGGACGCACTTGTAGTCGCCGGCGAAGTCCGCGGTGAAGCCCGTGAAGACCAGGTACGAGCGGGGCATCTGGAACCTGTTGGCCAGCACGAACACGCTCCCGCTGGCCTGCGCCGCGGCGGGGAGCTCCCAGCTGTGGGCACGCCAGGTTAAGGTCGGGGCGAAGGGGTTTCGGAACATAACAGTAAACTATAATTCACAGTACTTTAGGATAAGTGAAAATAAGTTAAGGGAAAGGTAAAAATATAAGCAAGAATGCATCCACGAAAAATATGTAAACAATAACATCATTCATCAATAACGACTTACTCGACGTAGTAATCCCAGAGGTGCGTGGTCTCGTTGGTGAAAGCATCCGAGACGTTGCACAAGACGTACCCGCACTCCCGGAAGGGCATCGCCAGCTCCCCGTTAGTCACCTGAAAATTAAGAAAACAAAAATCATTATTCACAATTTTACGAGCGCTTGCTTGTACTTTCTGACACGCGCTGTACTGGTCAAAAATGCGGCTTTCTCTTAAAGGAATCTTGTGGATGGAAAATAGCGCGTGATAAACACACTGGCTAAAAAAGAACAAATAAACACGCGAGGCCAATATGTGTCGGATATAGCTAAGTGTAACATAAGATATTGAGGGAAAACCAGAAAGCATTTTTCGCTGACTCACTGCATGCATTCGGCACAGTCTCACGCACGCCAAAAGCATTCGTCGCTGAGACCATGCTTGTTTTCATGCTTCGTGAGGGCGTTCGCTTGTGGATAGGCCTATGCATGCATGCGTTCGTAGGGGAGTGTGTGAGTGTGAGTGAGTGTCTGTGTGTGTGAGTGTGTGTGTGTGTGTGTGTGTGTGTGTGTGTGTGTGTGTGTTTGTGTGTGTTTGTGTGTGTTTGTGTGTGTGTGTGTGCATGTGTATGCATTTAACAAAGACTACTACTTCGCCTTCATATTTACAAAAAAGGTCTAATTTTGCTTGATATTTACCTTTACTCTTTTTGGTGAAATAATATGCCTGTTACCCATGCACAATCAAAAATCCTTCCGCCAAGTAGCAAGAAAACAAACATAGATATGCAAATAAAAGCAGGATCGTGCATCAGACAACCTCTCGGGACCTGTCAGTCACACCCAGCTGTCATTTTCTCCTCAGTGACAATCGCTGCAAGTGTCATGCTTTATGAACTGTCACATTATAACCCCGACCTGCTACTTACACCATCTTGCTTGGTTGTCAGACATGTCCACAACATTACAGCTGTCATTCACTCGCACGTTGACATTTCGGAAGCATTATGGTATTGATTTGATATAACAGAAATGTCAAATCTTCATACTTATAAGATCTTCGTACTGATCATATCTTTAATGTTATAACACCCATGCTTATTACATTTTCACATATATGTAATAGTTTCATACTTATCGTATTCTCATTCTTACCGCATCTCTATACTTATCACATATTCATATTACAACACTTTCAGACATATATTTGTATGTATCATCACACGTATCACTTCTTACGGATCAAATATCACATCATCAAGTACAATTTATATCTCAATATCAGCTGTACATCGCCTCACCTGCAGTCAAACATTAAAAGATAAATAGATAAAGAAAGAAAGAAAAAAGAAAAATCTCACATTGCACGGGTTATGGTGTCAGGACCGTCGCTTGTAAATGTCATGCTGTCACACCACACCAACATAAAATGCGGATTTGCCGTAACATTCCGTCATGCGCATCATGCACGGGAGAACTAAACAAAAGAAAGGCACGGAGAATGAGAGAAAGAAGGACACAAACAAGAAGACGAAGCAAGGGGAAGAAGAGATATGATACAGGGAAGAAGAAGCGAAGGAGGGAGACAGGGATTAAAGGAGGAAGAGAGGAGGAGCAGAGAAAGGAAATGAGAGAAAGAAAGAGAGAGAGAGACTCACCGAGACGAGGCGCCGCACGCCCTCACTCTCGCCCTGGAACCAAATAAGTTAGAGCTGTTAAATTGTCTGTCTGTCTGTGTGTCTTGGTTTCGTTTTGTGTTTGTGTCTCTTTCTCATTCTTTCCATCTTTCTCTGTTCTTTTTCTATTCGCTGTCTCCTCTCTCTCTCTCTCTCTCTCTCTCTCCTCTCTCTCTCTCTCTCTCTCTCTCTCTCTCTCTCTCTCTCTCTCTCTCTCTTTCTCTCTCTCCCTCCTCTCAGCTAAGCATTATGTCTGTCTGTCTGTTGGTCAATATCTCCCTCTTGCTCTTTTTCATCTACTCTTTTCTCTCCCTCTTTCTCTCAATCTATATACAAAGAACACTAAATGCAATAATCAAAATAAGGAAACTATTAAAAAAAAAAAATGGAATATGTCCCTTCGACCTGTTAGGGAAGCGAGCAACTCAAGGCCCCCCCCCCCCCCCCGCCTCCGCCTTCGCCCGGAAAGTCGGTCCTTCGGAAGCCTTCGGGGAATCGGGTCACGTGGCTCGGCGTTCGGGGAACACGCTTGGTATTTATCGGGGACGTTTTTGTCTCTCGCTTTTTCCTTTTCTTTCTTTCTTTGTCTGTCTCTCTGTCTGACTCTCTCTCTCTCTCTCTCTTCTCTCTCTCTCTCTCTCTCTCTCTCTCTCTCTCTCTCTCTCTCTCTCTCTCTCTCTCTCTCTCTCTCTATTTATCTACATATCTGCCTTTCTCTTTCTATATATGCGTCTGCTTCGTTGTCTACGCCTGTCTCTGTCTCTACCTCTCCATTTCCCACTCACTTTCCTCTTCCCTCTCCTTCTCCCTTTCCCTCACACACTCCCTTTCCCCCATCCTTTTCCTTTCCTCTCCTTCTCCCTTTCCCTTTCTCTCCCCCTACCCTTACCCCTCGTGCTAAGCGATATCATGGCACTAATACCGAGATCCTGGTGCCACTCAGGGCCTTGTCTTGGCTCCCATGTTAATTCTTCTTCTCCTCTTAGGATATCCTATCATTCTCCTATCATCCACATTCGTTTTATCGCCTCATTTGTTTTATGTCTATTCGGTGTCTGCGCGACCACTACGATGAAAAATCAGGTTAAACTTTTAAATTGAGTTTTATATCATATTCAAGATTTTATAAGTTCTGTTTTTTTCAGAGGTCCTTATGTATATTGTTAATATTCTTAATTTGTTCGTCATGCAACTCTATTAACTTGAGAAATTAAACGGAAATGTCTGTAAGTACTATCTAGATCAATCGCATAGTGTACAATTAACAGGAACCTGATACTATGATGACCTACAGAGGAAATGAGTTGTTATATGACGATTCATAAACATGGTTCTTATCTATCTACGCTCACACCACACGTACATACACACACACACACACACACACACACACACACACACACACACACACACACACACACACACACAACACACACACACACACACACACACACACACACATACATATATATATATATATATAATATATATATATATATATATATATATATATATATATATATAGAAAGGTCAGTATGTAACGACATGATTAACATGCGACGTTCAAAATGTGCTGTATTATTATATTATTTTCTGATTCATGCTGACAAATACACTGCTTTGGGAATTTTTATTATCAGTAGGTTTCCACTTGTTTGCAATTTCGCTTAGTTTTCAATTTCCTTTTTCTTTTTAATGTAATTTCTTCTATGTTTAACACAGTATATTTGTGGCTCAACTCTGAGCACTTCCTCACCCTTTTTCTATCTAAATAGTTCCTTTTACGAAAAAGAAAAAATACGTATAATACAATCTTCCAAGATTTCCGAAAAAATAACGTTCGAAGGACACGAATTAAAAGATTTGCGAAGTAAAAAATAATGTTCGAATGGCACTTGAATTCAAAGATTTCCGAAGTAAAAATAACGTTCGAATGACACGAATTCAAAGATGTCCGAAGTAAAAAATAACGTTCGAAAGACACTTGAACTCAAAGAATTCCCAAGTAAAAAATAATGTACGAATGATACGAATACAAAGATGTTCGAAGTAAAATATAACGTTCAGACACGAATTCAAAAAATTCCCAAATAAAAACTAATGTTCGAATGACGCTTGAATTCATAGATGTCCGAAGTAAAAATAACGTTCGAATGGCACTTGAATTCAAAGATGTCCGAAGTAAAACATAACGTTCGAAAGACACGAATTCAAAGATTTCCCGAGTAAAAACTAATGTTCGAATGACACTTAAATTCAAAGATTTCCGAAGTAAAAATAACGTTCGAATGACACTTGAATTCAAAGATTTCCGAAGTAAAAATAACGTTCGAATGACACTTGAATTAAAAGATTCCGAAATCAAAATCAACGTTAGAATGCTTAAATCCCCTTCAAAGACTCCACGGATTTCACTCTCATCAGAACGGACAGGAAACTCTGCCAACCTGAGCAACGGTCCGAGGCAAAAAGTTACTGTGGCGAGCAGAAGGCGCTCTTCCGCCACTCCCACGGGGACAGCCAGCAAATTTATCCTTTTATCCTTGTGTTAGTGGGATCTTATTATTTGGCTTATAGGCTCTAATGCACAGGAGAATGATACATGTGTGTGGGAAATGTATGTTTTACGTTTATTAGTTTTTTTCTTTTTAAATCAAAATCACAGTTGATTATCAGATTATAACTGAACAGCTGACTGGCTTTTGACATTACCATCACACCAAAAAAGTGTTTATTCCAATTTCCTCTAAACTTTGATGAAATATTGCGACTGCAGACGGTCAGCTGCAACGTGTCATTACAGCCTTTTTTGCGATTCCATTTCCCAGTACCTGTTTGGCGGGGGTGTTGACGGAGCTGAACATCTGAAGCGCTCCGTGGGACGTGGTCTCCTTGGTCAGTCCAGGTGAGCACAGGTGAACGAGGACGACTGTGGCGTAAATCAATTTATCCATTGTGGATGGGTGCAATATCGAAAAGCTTTGGCTTACTTTGCACTTTCTTTTCTTCTACCGTTCGAATTCGATGTATTCTCACTGGCGGGCGCTGATCCAAGATGCATCACGCTCAAACCGCTCTTACTCAGCAAACTGCGAGCCTGTCTTCGGAAGGTAAAGTATATACTGCATTATGGGGTGCCCGCTAGCTCGAACGAGATGCCGGCTAGTCTAATACAAAATAATTTACACCAACAAGTAAATCCGAACTCCCAGGCCGTTCATAACCACTCAACTTACTTTATTCGAATTCG